ACTTTGCCTGTCTAAAACACCTGATTGGTCTAATAAGGAGTTGAATGGCCAATAACAAGGCAGGAGAGAGGAACATGCAGGTCTGGCATGCAGATAGAATAAACAGGAAGAGAAGAGGGGGAGCAAGAAGAGGAGAACACCAGGGGCCAGCCACCCAACCATACAACCAGACGCAGAGTAAGGAGAGGTACATAGAACAGAGAAAAGTAAAAGCCCAGAGGCAAAAGGTAGATGGGATAATTTAAGCTAAAAAAAAAAAAAAGCTGGCTAGAAACAAGCCAAGCTAAGGCCAGGCATTCCTAAGTAAGAATAAGTCTCTGAATATTTAATTGGGAACTGAGTGGTGGGCCCCCAAAGAAAAAGAGTAAAACAAAAAACGAACTACACCGCTCCACACCCCACGCTGGCACAGAAATGGGGAGGGAAAACTCTACAAGTCTGCTCCAGGTGCTCAGGAAGACTCCCCATTTACCTGGCCCCGGGCCAGCTGGATCTTCTCATGCAGCCGCTGTCGCAGGACATCCAGTGCAAAGACAGAATCAGGTGCTGTGACTTGACTATCTGCAGGGAAGGAGACTAGGCTGGAAGAGGAGCTTCCCCACCACCATTCCTCCCTCCCTTCCTTCCCCAGTGCCACTTGTGGATTTACAGGCCACCAGTAAGTTCCAACCCAGCTCCTTTAGACAGGTAACAACTGCATCATGAGGTTGGTCACTATGACATTAGAAAAACAGTGTCTGTTATCACCTTGTCACCTGGCTGTCATGTGGCACTGGACCATCATGCACTCTGTCTTCTATTCTGCTCCTATGATCTCCCTCACTGGAAAGTCTTGTATCATTACCATAAACCTGTTGGTACTTTTGAGCAGTGGGGACGTTTGCCTCTAGGTCCCATCCCAGCTCTGACCATGCATGTTTTGGAGCCCCTCACCTTCAGGAGACTCCAGGGAGCTGGACTTCTTCTCTTGTTTGGATACTGTTGGTTTCTTAGCCCTAGAAGAGGTGGGAGCCGTCTTCCCTACGGGCTTAGTCTTGTGTTCTGTAGCTTTCTGTCCCTGCTCCTGAGATTTCTTTTGTGTTTTCTTCCTTTTCTTTTTCGGGGGCCCGGCAGCTTCCAAGCGTTTTGTTCTGCCAGCTGAAATGCAAAACAAGCTGAATCCCTTCTCTCTCACCAATTCAGCAAAGAAAGATCCTGCAAAGGCACTGATCCCAGTGATCCAAAGATCCAGGTGGCTAAGTCACTGCCACCTGTCCAGAGCTTAGTGCCACCAACTGCCTGGGCAGCAGGTGGCCACACATCAGTAATCCCAGCATTTGGAAGCTAAGGCACTAAGACTGCTGAGAGTTTGAGGCCAGGCTGGGCTACACAGCGAGACCTTGTCTCAAAAAACAAAAATAAACTAACAATTTTTTAAGAAATCTAAACTACACTCACACACCTGACCCAGCAGGTATGTGTATGAGGAATAGACCACAAAGCCAGGTTTCAGGTTGGTCATTACCACATTATCTAAATAGAAACACCTACTTCCAGGAACAAATGTTCCTGCTACGTAGGACACTTTCTCCTTACTACCCCAAACTGAACACTTGGCTCATGTACAGCAATTTCCTCCTGGATAAAACCTTCCATCTTGGGGGGAAGCTCCTTCAGCTCAGGAACTAAACACCAAGCTTCAGGAAGTCCTGGACCTGACCAGATTCACTAGCCCCTTCTTCCACATGGAACAGACACTCTCCAACCTGTTGAGCTGCCTACAAGTAGTGCAGTGCACTCCAGGTTTCTAGCTTTTGAGAGCCATCACCCATGCTGGGGTGGGCTTTGGTGATACAGTAGTATTCATACTTTTGGCCTGTCATTGCTGTGTCTGCAAAGACCGAAGGACTCATTAGAATTGCAGTGGTGTAGAAAGGCTGGAATGTTGCAGGTCCAGAGGACAATTACCTTATCTCAAGTTAGCTTTAGTCCCATGAATAATCCATTTCTTGCCCACCTCTATATCTGTGACTAATAGATTAAAAACCTTTTTGAATCTATTAACTCAGCAGATCAACCTAAAAGTTAAGAATGTCATCAGCACCAGGCATGGTGGTACACGCCTTTAATCCCAGCACTTCTGGAGATGGAGGCAGAGGCAGGCAGATCTCTGAGTCAAGGACAGCCTGGCCTACAGAGTTCTAGGACAGACAAAGCTATACAGAGAAACCCTGTCTCAAAAAACAAAAACAAAAATGTCATCAATACGTGGGCCTAGAAAAGCTTCCCACATCTTGCTATAACTACCTGATGTATACACCAATGTATTTTAAACTTGCCTTGGCTTTCTTTGTTCTGAAACTGCTTCAAGAACATTTTGTGTTGGAAAGTGGAATTTGGGGTAACCAAAATCTGTGTTCACAGGCCACGGTCATTCAAAATGGGCTCCAGAATAAGGTGAGGGCTGTGAATTTCTGGAATTCACAGTGATCTGCCTTGCCTCTGCTTGCCAAGCATTGGTATTAAAGGCATGTGGACCATGATTGTCACTGCCCCCGCCCCAAAAGACTCATTCACTCATTCATTCATTTTATGAGTGTTGTAAGTATGTATGTCTGTGTATCATAACCATGTCTGTTGCCGTTGGAGGACAGAAGAGAATATAAGATCCCCTGGAACTGGAGTTAAGCGACTGTTGTAAGCTGCCACATAGATGCTGGGAACCGAATATGGGTTCTATACAAAAGTAACAAGTGCTCTTAACTGCTGAGCCATCTCTCCAGTTCTTTTGACTTTTCGGGAGGGTTTCCTGAAGTTGCCCATGCAAAGGTGAACTTATCAATGTATATAGCCCAGACAGGCCTGCGGGCCTTTACCCTCCGAGGGCCTCAGACTCAGCCTCCCCACGAACCAGGCCCAGCGGCAAAGAACTCTTTATGATGAAAGATTTACTTTCACTTCTAACGATGAGGAAATGTTAGCATTTTAAACTAAACGTCCAAGAATGGAGTGTACGTACTCTCAACGCATGAAACACATACGGACAAGAACTGAAAGACACCACCAGCCAGTGAGAAAACTCGACGACCTCTTCATACTTTACTAGCGAGCACGTTTTTCGTTCCGTTCGAGTCTGGTAGTCCCCTAACCACCTTCCCCTCCATCAGGGCCCAGCGCCCTCAGGAGCCGTAGCTGTCCCAGCGAGTACCGGCTCACTCTTGTATCACGCGTGGAGGGTTGGATCCAACCTAGGACAGCGGGCCCGTGCGACGGCATCCACTCCCAAAGGCTGCTCGGGTAGGCTGCCTTACCCCACTCGCTCCTCCGCCGCTCGGGGCCAGGCTGTGCGCAGATCTTCTTGGCCAAGTCCTGCAGATAGGTATCCTTGGCTTGCAAAGAGGCCATGGCTGGAGACCAGGGCTGACGCCACGCTCGGCGGGTCCCACGGCTCTATGGCCCACCGGAAGCACCATGCATGCAGGCACTGACAGCCGAGCGTTCGATTGCCGAGCCTGACCACGCCGGAAGTGCCGTGTGCGCAGGCGCCGCCAGGCCAACGCTCGCTATTAGCTCAGGAGCACCGGAAGCCACCACCCAAGTATTTGTCTCAGTCCAAACCACAGTGTACGCAGCCGCGGCCCACTCAGAGCTCGATTAGCCAGGCCTGAGGGGCCGGCTAGTCTTTAACCTGGAGGCGTTTCTCTGAAAGAAGTAACCTGTAACATGAGATCGCACCGGTTCGGCCAAGCGTCGGGACTTCAGTCCCTCCCTCTCCGCCGGGCAAAACGGAAGCCATTCTGGCTCCTTCCCTATCATCGGCCTGAAGCCCAGAATCCGACCCAGCACCCCACAGCCACTCACAGCAAAACACAAACAGGTATAAAAAAAATGTGGGGGGACAACCGGAGACATGAGTATGGCGTGGATCCTAGATTACATGCAGGCATCTCAGTTGTTTCGATGGCACTGGGCCTTTAGGGGTGAAAAACCCCTTGCAGGCTTGCAGATGGCATTGAAATGGCCTATATATGAGGAAATGGAGGGAAAAGCGAGTCCCTAGTAGGGCCTGAATAGGCCTTGCTATACACATGGCTACATAGAGCTTTTTGTGTGGGTCTCAGTCACTCACAAGTTAATGCTCGTGGAAAAAAAAAAAAAAAAAAAAAAAAAAGGTGATACTGAAGTTACATCACTGTTGACTCTGAGTTTCTAGAAAACTGAATCCCTGTCCGTCTCTCTGGGAGCAGTGCCCCCAACAGCACAAGTTGGAGAAAGGCAATTTTTGCTTTTAAATGTGAAGGACAGAATTGACCAGACAGAATAAAACACAATGTCTTTCATTAAGATTTTTGGAAACCCTTCCAAACCGTTGCTTCTAGTGTTCCCCCAAACTCCTCCACTCTGTGACTAAGCTTTCTCCGTGACACTTACGAGCTCTTCCAGCAGTTAACATTGCAGACATCACTCTGATGGAAAACTCCCTCATGGGGGCAGTGACTTGCCCCTAGCTACCCACTTGTGTGCTACTTTCTGTTTGGCTATGTAGGTGCTGGGCCACCTGGTGACCAGCCCATGTTCCTCATGGCTGACTACTTTCATGAATGAAACTTGCTCACCATAGTTATGAGTGACAGGCTGAAGGCCAGTATCATGATTTCTGCATGTCAGTGATGAGCCTGGTACAGGGAGGCAATGGGGTCTGAGTTCCTAGTTGTTTCTGTCACGTAATTTCTCAGCCTGTGGCTCTAGATACACCCCTTCCAAGCCCATGCCCACTCCAAGATGCAGACATGACAGTGCTAAGTTGGGGTGGCAGAAATAGGTGGCACCAGAAGTACAGGTGCTTCAGTCTTTTATCTTGAAGTAATGGCAGATCTTTCATTCATTTACCAAAATGTCAAGGACCTGGTAGATGCTAGTGGGAGAGGGTCACCCGGGAGCCCAAGGCTATACGAGGAGGAGGGGCTATTGCTCAAGGAACCCAAGGGCAATCTTGGACTGATCAGAAAAGAAAGATGAACAACACAAAAAAGGAATGTTTTATTCAACAGTTTTATCACAAAAGTAGCAGAATGAAAATGGTGGCAGAACCCAGGAAGATGCCCTGGCTAGCTGCCTCTCAGTCTTGCTAGGACTATCAGATATGGCACAGACAATTGTGCTCCAGGCACCAGGCAGTGGACAGGGCTCTCTACACAGGAGCCTGAGCCAAGGATGGGTGGCTGGGCTTGGCTAAGGTCCACTGAGCACCTCCCAATTCTAAACAACAAGCTGAGGCTGTCTTTCTATCACCAGCCACCCTCCCTACTCAAGAGTCCTCAATGGGACAAACTTTCCATCTGGCAGTCAGGAAGGTAGCCACTAGAGATGAAGAGCCACCTGCCTGTAAGTAACTGAACGTCATTCCCAACTATCACAGGGAAGTGGCCCTGGCCTGGCCACGTTCCTGAGTCCCCAAGTGGGAGCTGAGACTGACAGGAGTTCCTTTCTGATAACTAGGGCCCTGGGGAGGGCTGCCCTGAGAGGGTACCCCAAGAGGCTCAGGTGTGTTCTGTGGGGCCAGAGCCACTACCATGGGAGTGGGCAGGGGCTGCAGACTGCAGGGGACCAGCACCAGTCTCCGGGGATGCCAGAAGAGGGGCAGAGAGGCCATCAGCAGAATCTGTGTCGAGGTCCAGCCTCCAGTAAGCTTCACATAGAGGTAGGTCATTAGCTTCGCAGAGACTTGAGCTTTGCCACCACAAGAAACCCCCAGGAGTGACAGGAGCAGGCAGAGGAAAGCCAGGGAGGGGAAAGCAAGACAGACGCAGAGTTAAGAAATGAACATCACCTGACTGCCTCCCCTTCCTCTCCTGTACTGGCCCCTCGGCTACCAGTTCTAGCCACCCTTGCAGCCAAAGAAAGGCCATGTGACCTAGGCAAGCTCTCCCCACGGGCCACATGTCCTTCCTGACACTCGGGACTCCCCTTGTCCCTGTGGGTCTCCTCCCATCCTGACCGCCCACCCTTTACCAGCAGGGTAGTGGTAAGACTTTACAAAGATCATGGTGGCTGAGACCTGTGTCTGTCCCTATCAGGGAATTGGCCTAACTATACAAAGTCAGTAACAGAGGTCCAGGCATTTCTCTACACACCACTGCTCCAGCCCTATAGCTTCATGCACTCCATTTCCTCATGTTATACAGGGAAGACCAGAGGTGGGAAGAGAGAAGGATTAACCTCAGCGGTCATGGCAGTGGTTACCTGGAACACATCTGTTTCCACAGCTGTCTAATATGCACAAGGCCCTGGCCCCATACCTGCCCCCAGCAGTCCCTCTCAGAACTACCCAGAAGAGTAGTATCCCCAGAAGAGTGGAGGGGAGGCAAAGCCAGAATTAGCAAGCAGTGAGTATATAGGCAGGAGTAGCTGTACAAAGGTGAAGCTAGGCAGCTGCTGGTGGTGTGGGCATGAAGCTGATAGGGGCAGATGAAACCCACTGGCCTCTCTGCACAGAAGAGCACTGACATTTAAGGTAATTCATAGGCAGAGGGGCAGATGCTTTACCATGAGGAATATGGAAAAGGTGACTGCCCAGAGGGGACACAGGTTGTCCCAGAAACCCATGCAGGTGACACAGAGAAACTGAGGCTTTGGAAACCTGATACTCTGGGTTTCTGTCTTAAGCAATTTCATCCCCAGGGTTTCTCTATCAACCCCTGTAGCAGGGCTGAGTCACTGTCCCATGACTGATCCACCTAGGAGCCCTTGAAGCGGTAAATGTCCAAAGGGTAGTGACAGGAAGATGTGAAGGAATTCATCCTGGGTGAGTGGAAAGCTCTGCCTTTTGGGGATAGAGGATATGGTCCCCTTTGTTTGCTAAGCTGATCAATACTGGGACCAAGGATAGCCCCAGAACTCTCTGGAAAACTTTAGAACTGCTCCAGCTGGGCAGTGACACTGAGTCTAGGATGGGGAAAGCAAGCCCTAGACCACATACCACCCAGTCATGGACACCTGTGGCTCCTGCTGCAGCCTCTGGGCAGCAGGAGCAGCACATCTACCACGAGGGGAGAACAGGTTTGCCTGGGAGTAGGTGCTGCTGGACGGAACCTAATACCAAGCTAAGGGGGTCTGAGCAAGGCCGCCATTCTCTAGCCTCAGCTTCCCGAATATTTCATATTGTACCCTTAATTTCTCAAGGCCTCTCTGGTTAGGAAAGTATCAGGTTTCAAGTGGCCCTGAAGAGGACTAGGTGACAGATCCTACCTACTGCTATCCTCTGGGGCAAGCAAAGGTCTGATACCAGGAGGCTCCAGGACCACGAGGACATCCAAGTATCTCAAAGCCAGTTCTCAAAGCCACCGTGCTTGAGCTCCTTCCCCAGTCCCAGTGTTCACCATCTCTACACTGTGGAGTCTGATGATACCCACATAGAACTGAATCTCTGGGCAAGCAGTAGGCAGTGGTGTCCCAGAGGCCTCAAGAGGCCAATCCAGCCTGGGCTGAAATGTCTAGACAGAGATTTACAGCAGTAAAGCAGAGACTGCACTGCCCAGGAGGGCTTCCTTGCCCCCTGGGGGGTGCCCTTCTCTGGCCTCAGCCGCTGACACCAAGTCCTGTGATTTTTCACCCCACTTCATTGAGGGGAGGCCTGGGCACCAGCTGGTGGCTGGCTGTGACTGTCTGTCCATCAAATGCTCTAGTCAGGGGTTTTGCTGCCAAGGAGGGCTGGAAAAACACAAAGCCCTTGAAGGCCCTTGAAGGCCCTAGTTGGCCTGGGCAGGCAGCAGGTACCACCTGCATGCGAGTCCAGCCCTATTTGTACCTGGACGAGTAGTATTCCTCCTCCAGCTCATACAGGTCGATGGAGACCTCGTCCCGCAGGGTGATGAGCTTGCGATCACACTCTTCCTGCAGGGCGCGCAGCTGCTGGTTTCGCTGGTCAATGGCTTCGTTCACAGATGGGAAGTCATTGAGGATCAGGAACTGCTTGAGATCAGATACCAGCTTCATCAGTGACTCGCCAGCTCGGACCTGCCACCATCATAATCAGGATATGAGAGGAGGCGGAGACGGTGACCCTGCTCTGTGTAACGGGTGCTGGGTCAACAGTGGGTTCTCTGGAAATCTCAACTTCATGGTCCACAAAGAAAAGTACTAGCCTGCACAAAGCCATCTGTGCGGACAGGGAAGTAACTGGGAAGGCACAATCAGAACCCACCCCGACCACAGGTGGAATAAGTTTGCTTACTTCAAGGAGCTTTTTCCCTCCCCAACCAACCACTGACACCATGTATACATCCTGTGCACTCATTCAAAGCCAACAGAAGACTATGCCCTGGGTTTCCTCCTGCAAGGATTCACTGGGGTCTTTGCCCCACACATTGTCATTTGCTGGTACCCACTGCACAGACACTGGCCTACTGGGCTTTCCCTGTAAGATCAAGAGGGGCTCACATTTTACATATGACAAAAGGCCGTTTGCCTTTCCATTTACAACCAGCCTTGGGGAACCTTCATGTCAGCAAGAAGGGCTGCCTTCCTCCTGACTACTACTGTCTATTGCCACCCCCTCTAACCCCCCTCCCGCCAGTGACCACTAGGGGCAGTTTCCTAAAATGTGCTCTGCCCCACCCCACTGTTCTCTCGTTTGCTGCTCTGGACTCCATCCACAACCCTTAGAGGGGTGTTTTCCACCCTTGCCACTCACGATGTTGGCAGCTCGCACGTGCATCTCGTAATTGTCCTGTTCACCCTGAGTAGCCCGCGACACCTGTGTCTCGTCCTCAATCTGGGGACAAATAAGAAAGCCTAGAATCAGCCCAGGCAGCCACCTGGCTTAGCCTGGCTCACAGGAACCCAACAACTAACAGCTACCACCCCACCCTGAGTGCCATCACCACAGCCTGCCTGCTTATCAGGCCTTCCTGCACACCCCGCACTCTACCTCCTATCTAGACAGCTGGCAATGTCCACTCCAACCCCCTCTTGTTCTGTGGGTGACAAGAGGTGACTTCATCACATCAAAAGGACACTGCCAAGTCTTTTTGAGAAAGTTTACACAAAATAAGATGCTCAATAAAGGAGTAAAAGGACAAGTTTTTGTTTTGTTTTTCGAGACAGGGTTTCTCTGTGTAGTTTTGATGCCTGTCCTGGAACTCGCTCTGTAGACCAGGCTGGCCTCGAACTCACAGAGATCCGCCTGGCTCTGCCTCCCGAGTGCTGGGATTAAAGGCGTGTGCTACCACTGCCCGGCATAAGACAAGATTTTTTCATCTTTGTTTTTAAGGCAGGGTCTCATGTAACCCAGGCTGCCCTGAACTTCTGATCCTACCTCCACTTCCTAAAACCTGACATTAAAGAGCTGTGCCAACATCTAGTTTATTCAGTGCTAGGGACCAAACACAGGGCTTTGTAACTGCTAGGCAAGCACTTCACAATTTCAACATCCCCAGCCAGAAAGTACCTTTTCAAGTGACCCCTCCTGGGCAGGCACCGTATTGAGCAGCTAACTAAGGAGGGCTTCCTCACAAAAGCCTGAACTGCTGTTCTCAGCTTACAGATGGACCAGCCAGAAACTGACAGATCTCAGCGGTCTTGAGGCATCTCAGAAATAATTAGAGCAGCAGTTCTCAACATGGCGATTCATAACAGTAGCAAAATTCGTTATGAAGTGGCAACGAAAATTAATGTATGGTTGGGGGTCATCACAACATGAGGACCAAACTCATCGGTCATCACAACGATCTACGGCATGGGGGACACTCAGCCCAGGTGCCCACTGCCCAGTAACTAAAGTAGAGCCCTGGCAGTTTCGTCCAGAGTCCTCTACTCTGCTCTACCCACGATTGTCATTATGTGGCTTTTCTATTTACCTGCTGACCTTTACTTCTGACACCTCGTTGCTCCCACTCGCACCAGACTTGATCACATTCCCTTTGCATCCCCACCCCTGCAGCAGAATCTAGACATGTACCCAGACATCAGGGAAAACCAGTTCCTGCCTTCTCGTATGGCCTCGGAACAGCGTCCACGCACCTTGGCGGTCTTGATGATCTCGGTGAAGTTGTCCATGATGGACTTGATGTCGTCTTTGAGCCGCTTGTTGTAAGACTGCAGGAGCGTCTCCTTGCTCTGGGGCAGGGCTCTCTGCTGGGCCATGACAGACCCTGGGTGAGAGCCCCAGTCTGGTCTGACCTGGGGGGTGGTAGGGAGGGCTTTCACTACATCAGCTCCCTCCGCGAACACAGGCCCGCAGCGGGCCCTCCCCACGCAGGCGCACAGCACCCACCCACTCCTGCGCGCGGTTTTTGCTCCCTACTACCGCCCGCCGCCACTCGGGACCCGCGGTACCTTGCCCGGTCCTGCCGCCCTCAGCGAAGGCGCAGCCGCGACTCCGCACGCCCCCGCCCAGGCCCCGCCCACGCCGACCGAGTGCCCAGTGAGTCCGTCGCTTTAAATCCGAAATCCCGCGCAGGCGCCGGCTCTCGCGATCTCCGCGACTGCTTACATATTACCCACAATTCCCTTTTCTTTCTCTCTCCTCCAGCCGAGCAAGATGGTGAGTGATCGCGGTCCTTCGCGTCATCCGCCTCCATCCGCCACCCGCCGCCGTCTCGCGGGGTCTGCGGACTCCCTTGGCGCTTCGGGGCCCTGCGCTGAAAGGGAGCGGCAGCGAGCGGCGCGCCGGGAGCGACCCTGCTGTCCGATGGGACGGCGACGGCGGGAGACACAGCCTCACGGGGTTTCTCTCTCCTGTCCAGCCCAAGGGAAAGAAGGCCAAGGGGAAGAAGGTGGCCCCGGCCCCCGCCGTCGTGAAGAAACAGGAGGCCAAAAAGGTGGTGAATCCTTTGTTTGAGAAAAGGCCTAAGAACTTCGGCATTGGTAAGTGGGATCGAAGCGCTTTCCCGACGGCAAGGCGGTGGTTCCAGGGGACTTGGGGTGGGGATGGTCTCCGTCCCTTAACAGACGCGGACGGTGGCCTTCGAGGGCCGCCCTGGCTTGGAGATAGCTACTGCGGGTACTTGGGCTGCTGTGCCAGCTTGCTGGCAGGCCGTGGCTTTCTGTTAGAAGGGGGTGTGTTGTGTGCAGATGATGTAAAAGAATATTTGCTATCGGAAAAATGGTGATGACATTTGAACCACCAAGATCGCTGATGCACCAACGCCCTCCTAAGTGCCCAGAAGCCGGCTGGCAGCACAGCGGTGACTCCTCATTCGTAGTGTCACCCTTCACTTCCCAGGGCAGGACATCCAGCCCAAAAGAGACCTCACACGCTTCGTCAAATGGCCCCGCTACATTCGGCTGCAGCGGCAAAGAGCCATCCTCTACAAGCGGCTCAAAGTCCCTCCTGCCATTAACCAGTTCACGCAGGCCCTGGACCGGCAAACGGGTGAGGTGCTGTCGGGCCCAGTTTCGTGTTTCCAGGGCATGAGATGGGGCCTGAGTTTGTCCTTTGTAGTGTGTGTCATCACATTAAAACACTGGTGGTGCAGGGAGGTGGTTTCAGAAGGAAAAGAAGGGGTACTGAGCAAGTGTGAGAGCTGAGGATTCTCAGTGTCCATATATGTGGCAGGGGAGGGATTGAAAGGGGTCCCTAGTCACTACCTGAAACAGCCAGCAAACTTAACGTATTAGTAAGGTGAGGAGGCATATGAGGAAGATGCCCAACGTTGACCCCTGGCATTCTTACCTGCACATACCACACAAGGGTAGGTTTGGGGAGGGGGCTGTGGAGATGGTCTCTATGTTGTTCTGGGCTCCTTATGTAGACCCAGGCAGGCTTTGAACTCTAAATCCTGCTTCCCAAGTGCTGGGATTAAAGGCATGTGCCACAAGGATGGTTTTTGGTTTCAGCTTTTTAAAAATTTGTTTCGCCCGGTGGCAGTGGTGCACACCTTTAATCCCAGCACTCAGGAGGCAGAGGCAGGCAGATCTCGGTGAGTTCAAGGCCAGCCTGGTCCACAGAGTGAGTTCCAGGACAGGCTCCAAAACTACACAGAGAAACCCTGTCTCGACAAACAAACAAAAAGATTGTTTTAGTGTGTGTATGCCACAGCTGTACAAGGGTTCAGAGACCCTCCACATAGGCCTGTAATGCCTTTCAAGTGACAACAGTTAGAATTCAGCCTGAGCCTGAGATTGCTTGCCAAGTAACTACAGTACTCAAGAAGCTACATAGCAAATCTAAAAAAAATTCAAGCCTAGAGTTAACTGAAGAATCATTTTCCCAGCTACCCAGCTGCTCAAGCTTGCTCACAAGTACAGGCCAGAGACAAAGCAGGAGAAGAAGCAAAGGCTGCTGGCCCGTGCTGAGAAGAAAGCCGCTGGCAAAGGGGACGTCCCAACTAAGAGACCACCTGTCCTCCGAGCGGGTAGGTGACCCCTGGGAAAGGAAGGGTGGTAGGGCAGGCTGTGCAATGATGTGTGAATTTCTTCTGAAATCATTTCACCTGAAATCACTGTGAAGAGTGAGATCGAGCTTTTTAACCCTGAGTCACAGCTTGGTGGAACTGCTTTTTTTTTTTTTTTTTTGGTTTTTTGAGACAGGGTTTCTCTGTGTAGCTTTGCGCCTCTCCTGGAACTCACTTGGTAGTCCAGGCTGGCCTCGAACTCACAGAGATCCGCCTGGCTCTGCCTCCCGAGTGCTGGGATTAAAGGCGTGCGCCACCACCGCCCGGCTGGAACTGCTTTTTATGTGACTGTAGCAGCCCAAGCACTCAGGCAGTGGTTGTGTGTTCCAGGGGTCAATACAGTCACCACCTTGGTGGAGAACAAGAAGGCTCAGCTGGTGGTGATTGCCCACGATGTAGACCCCATTGAGGTAGGTCTGGTGGTTTTTACCATCAAGTGCAGAACCAGGGTCCTGTGTTGCCTCTGGAAGGGTGGAGTCAGTTTGATGAGTTGGAGGAAAAGGGATCAGTTTGTGTGGCTCTTGCAATGATGTGAATCTTTAACTGAAGTAGCTTTGATGTACAGTTACATGAGCTTTTTAACCCTGAGCATTTGCCACAAAGAAGCAGTGTAGCTCCTGCTTCTTGTGCTCCAAATGCCTACAGCTTGTGCTTGCTTCTAGCTGGTGGTCTTCCTGCCTGCCCTGTGTCGTAAGATGGGGGTCCCCTACTGCATCATCAAGGGAAAGGCCAGGCTGGGGCGGCTGGTCCACAGGAAGACATGCACCACTGTTGCCTTCACACAGGTTAACTCGTGAGTATTCATGCTTATCCCTAAGCTTCCCTTAACTCTCCCAGGTTTGGGAACCATTTGCCAATGATGGCTAAGAATTTCTTCACCTGAATCAGCTGTGTGGTCATACTGTGTCTGAGGCAAAAATAAAAGCTTATAGGAAAAATTACTCCTGTTTCCCAAAGAGTAACAAGGCCTTTCCCCTTTCCTTGCCAGGGAAGACAAGGGTGCTCTGGCTAAGCTGGTGGAAGCTATTAGGACCAATTACAACGACAGATATGATGAGGTAAGCAGCTCTAGAACATGGGTTGGTTAGTGCTTGAAGCAGTTGGATTCGAGTACCCACTTGGAACCATTGAATATAGGATGTTAGCTGATGCATGCATTAGAGAGAGGGTAGGGTGTCAGGCCAAACTGACTGCTGTTTCTGTCATTTCAGATCCGCCGCCACTGGGGAGGCAACGTCCTGGGTCCTAAATCTGTGGCTCGGATTGCCAAGCTGGAAAAGGCAAAGGCCAAAGAACTCGCCACTAAATTGGGTTAAATGTACACTGCTAAGTTTTCTGTACATAAATATAATTACAAACTTATCTTCCATCTAATGGTCTTTGGTTATTTGGGTTAGTATGCTTAAATTGGTGGTGTCCCCCTATAAAATGTCTTGAGACCAAGCCAGGGTTTTAAAAATAACAATCTTTATTTTACGTGTAGATCTCTTGGTTAGGAACAGGTTCATTAACTTCACACACCTGGTGTCCGCCTCACAAATTTTTGAAACCACAAGTATGATGTTGCTGCACACAGTCCATACCTGTGATTGAAAGAAATTTAGTTGTCAGCCTATATAGTGGATGGGTAGAGGGTATTGTAACAGGGGACAGCAGGACTAACCAGGTGATGATGTACTGCATGTGCTCATTCCGAAGAGTGACTCTTGTTTGCCCTCCAATGGGTCCTCCAGGGGTTGTACTCTCTGTAGAGACAGTAGGAGTTAATCTCCACCTCTGGTGGTGATCCTGAGCACTTCCATTTGTGTGATAAGTTCCAAGTCACTTTTGTCAGAACCTATCAGGTTTCCTTCTGCCCCCATACCAAACTGCAGGATGAAAACCTGCCAGGGAAAGAAGGGGAGGTGGGACAGTTAACAGCCAACAGTGCTTGCTCTCCCAGGGCAGGTGCCACAACATACGGAAATCTGCATCGATGAAAATGGGCTCTGCGCCTGTTATCTTGGCCATAGCCTCTAGGTCCCGATAATGCCAGTGATTCTGTTCTGGACTGTTCTCGGGGACAAAGGGCTTCCTGGTTTCTGTCAGCCTCACTATGCCAACTAGGTCTACTTCTCCAAGAATCTACAAAGGAAGGCGAGATTGCTTTTTACAGGAGTCCTCTGGAGAATGAATGACTTAATTGTAATCTTCCAGACTGAAGAGCCATGTCTTACCTGGCCTTTCTGTCTGGTCTCAGGATTCACTTTCTTCTTAGGGACAAATCCTCTGTTAACCAGGATGGTGACTCTGGAGCAATAATAAAAGTGTCCCTTGAGGTGAGGAAGGATTCCAGTACAGATCATCACTAATGGTCACTGCAACATCTACAGGACAGTTCAAACAGATATATTTGTTCTGTGTATCCAGTCCAACACTGCTAAGCCTCAGTGACTCAAACCCTATCAATGAACTGGCTAAGAAAACTGTTTAATGTCAGAATTGGAGATCCTGAAAACTATCGGGCAGTATTAGTTGGATCCAGTGGATCCTCAAGGGTCTAAAGGTTGGTTGAGCACAGTGAGAGAAACTGCCAGGCCCAGGCATGGCCTACTCACCCCAAGTCAGAGCAGTGGAAAGGAGTGACTACATAGGCCCCACTTTCCGCTGAGGAGGAGATTCGGCCAGCGTCACGGGCCTCTCGGGCAGGGTCCACCATGGTCCGAGGCATCATGTACAGCTCTTTGGAGTGATCAAAGTGCCCCCTGACCTTCACTGGCCTGTACTCCAGATGTTTCAGTTCTATTGGGCTATAAGGAGAAGGGGGGAAGGGCTGTAGGTAAGCAAGGCTTGTCAGAATCCTCTAAGCAGGTTGCAAGCTACCAAGCCCGCCAGGCAGGAAGGGTAAGAAAGGCTCAGTGAGGCTCATCAGATTACAGGTTGTGTCCTCCAGAGGGGTTATCTCAGCATCAGCCTTCAATGCCACAAGAGTATGTGGATCTGTGCTACCAAACCCAGCTTTTCAAGGGAAGTGTGTGTTCCTGTATGGCTACTTTACATAAATTAACAAAACATGAGTCCAAACTCCCACCTGTTACTTATCCTGAGTTAACCCTTGTTGCAAATTCAAGAGAACAGTACAAAAAATTAGAGGACACTTTAAAAATTGTCACCATATTGATACCTGCATTATCACCTACAAGGAACTGTCACTATGGGGCGATCCTTCAGGACCAGAAAAGGGAAATCTGGCATCGAAAAATACATCTTTCTTTCCTATTTACGTTCCATGCCCTTTGGCAGCTTCATAAAGGCAATCAGCAGCCAGTCTAGTGGGAAATTTTGAGGGCTCCTGCCTAAGGACAAAGAAATTACTGAGAAGACACCAAACAAGCCAGGGCCCCAACTGCTGCTGTAAGTGGGATGGATTGGGTGGGCAGCCGCACTCACTCCGCAGGCAGGGGGATGGGTTCAGCCATGACTCGAGACTCTAATTCTGCAATTAGTCTGAGCTTCCATTTCCGACGCTGGACCTACAGAAACAACATGAGCTAAGCAAACAGCATTGGGGTCCAAGGCTCAGAGACATCTAATAAATTTAGACCCCTGTCTTCACCTGCCAGGTCCCCAGGCCAAAAGCAGTAGCAGGGATAAGAAGCAGGAACCATTGGAGAAAAGAGTCGTCCTCTGCTTTAGCGGTGGCTGCTTCAGCAGTAGAACTGCTACACCTGTTTGGCCTCCAGACAATCCCTGGAGGGAGTTTTACAATACCAGCATGGGGTCAGAAGCCCTAGAACAAACAGAACTGGGTGGCCAATTCACCACAAGACTTCGGTTATGCCCACAGAGGATGGAGGGAAAAGGGCCATTAACAGCACCTGTGCTCAGTCCGCTCCCAGTACAATACACCTAGTAGACCACTGCGGGCTGAATGAAGGCAGGTGGCCCAACTGCAACCAGGTCTGAGCCCTTCTCACCTGAGCGGAAAGAAAGCCCGAGGACGTTCCTTCTGGCAACGCGGAGCGGGGCCTGCAGGGATCGAACAGCCGCGGGGCTAAGCTCGGGAACCTCAAGGCCGCCAAGCGCAAGCACCTGGCACTGTCCAACCCAGTCCCGCTCAACCTCGGGCTAGGTCCGGGACAGGGGCCTTCCCGACCCCGCACCACCCCAGGCTAGGTCCTCTTAGGCTGGGTCCACCCTGGGCAAAGTCCCCTTAGACAGGGTCCTCCTCAGCCCCACTCCACTCTGGGCTCGATCCTCCCGGCCCCTCTTCTTGGGCAGGGTCCTCCCCGGTCCCGCGCTTACCAGCCCCGCGCAGGACCATTGGGGCCACCGCGTCATCCGCTGCCGCAGCACAGAGAAAGCCCTCACGGTGGCCATCTTTGAGCACTTCCGGGACCGAGAAATCTGCTTCCGGGTCGGCGCTCTGCCCCACGTGGTCGCAGCGGCCTCAGATGGGCAACTCACATCATGGACGAACTACCAGCTGATGTGCGGGCTTTCCTGCGCCAGCACCCCAGCCTGAGGCTGCTGCCCAACACTCACAAGGTCCGGGGAGAACCGTGCCGGGGAGGATAGGGCCAGGAAGGAACGGGACCCGGAAGGAGCCGGGGGACCGTGCTGGGGAGGAGTGGGACCGGGGAGTACTGTGCCCGGAGAGCAGTGGGACCCCGGAGACAGTGTAGGAGAAGGGCGGGGCTGGCAAAAACCAGCTGCTGACAGGCGGCCCACCCACAGGTGCGGTGCTCCCTAACTGGCCATGAGCTACCCTGTCGTCTGTCGGAGCTTCAGGTCTACACTCGCGGCAAGAAATACCAGCGACTGTCCAGAGCCTCCTCGGAATTCGATTACACAGCGTTCGAGCCACACATCGTGCCCAGCACAAAGAATCCGTACGTAGATGGCCGGCCAGCGCCTGGGTGCAGAGCCTGTGCCCCCTATTCCGAGCATATAATGACCTTCCACTGACACGTCACCCGAGGCCAGGCTGGACAGTACCACTTTCACCGTTTGGGGACCCCATGACTGTGTGGTTGATATATCCTCACATGGAACTCCCTGAGCCGTTTCCCCATACACGCACCCTGGAGCAGTGTGAAACTGCGGTTT